TGCCGACGTTCATGTGCACATGATTTGTTATATCTACATATACAGATACATACACACATGCATACATACATACATACATACATACATACATACATACATACATACATACATACATACATGGGCACAGACATACATGCAGACAGACAGACAGACAGACAGACAGACAGACAGACAGACAGACAGACAGACAGACAGACAGACAGACAGACAGACAGACAGACAGACAAATGCTGATACATGTGTATGTATGTATGCATGTATGCATGTAGGTATGCATGTATGTGTGCACGTCTATAATACAAAGAGACCCTAAATCAAACCCTGCACCGTGCACTCAGGGCCAGACCAGAAGCGGTGAGTACGAAGTGGGCACATAGTAGGAGTAGCACCTTCGGCAGAAGCAGGAGGTGCTTAAACAGGAGTCCCCTACACCCTACTTGGAGGTTCATGGGTAGTTACAAGTGGGGGTATAAGTAGGGTCACTATAACTATAACCCTCCTGAGGGGACTTATGACCCCACTTATACCTACCCATGAGCCTCCAAGTAAACCCTAAAAAGGTGTGTACGGCTTTGGCTTCAAGATCCGGGGTTTATAGTGTTTAGGGCATTACGCTTAAGGGTTAAGGGTGTTGGGGTTCAGGATTTAAGGAAGCATGGAGGAGGCCTTTGAGGGGTTCAGCAGAACCCTACGGAGCAAATGAAACCTAAAAGGGTCCAAAATGGTGTAAGGCTCATATACCAGATGGGAACTCATAGTATAAGGGTAGAGCTTACTTTTAAAGGTGATTTTGTCTTAAGGGATGTAACGTCTAGGTTTATGGTTTAGGATTTTGGAGACTGTAGGGGCTTTAAGGATTAGAATAGTGTCTTGGCGGTTCCTGATTATACTTCTAGTATAATATACCCCTCAAACCTATTCTAGTTACTAAGGCCCCTAGACCCTAAACCGTCATAGTAGCCCTATAGAGAGGAACCCTTTATAGGAACCCCCCAAGAACCCTATTCTACTTATTAAGGCCCCTATATAATTGGAGTTCATGGCTTTCTCGGGAGGCTTGGGGTCTGAGACGAGAGGAGTTTTAGGGCTCTTGGGGTCTTCGGGGGGCTGGGGTCTTTGGATCCTAAGGGTTCAGGATCTAAGGGTTTAGGGCTTCTGGGTTTAGGGTTTAGGGCTTAGAGTTTAGGGCTTTTGGGTTTAGGGTTTAGGGATTAGGGTTTTTGGGTGTAGGGTTTAGGGTTTAGGGATTAGGGTTTAGGGTTTTGGGGTTCAGGGTTTAGGGTTCATGGGTTTAGTGTTTAGGATCTGAGAGGGTTCAAGGATCTCCGGGGGTTCACGGCTTCGAGCTGAGGCTCGAAGCCAAAACCCCAAACCCCCCCCCCCCCCCTTGGATCCCTAGACTCCTACGCTGCCTACACCCTGAACCCTAATCCCGTAAACCGCTAAGCCCCCAAAGCCCTCAACCCCCAAAGCCCAAAACCCCTAAATCCCTAAACCCCTAAATCCCCTAAACCCTAAAAAAAAAAAAAAGGACCCCGGCAGCGCCAAACCCTGAGAGGTGTCAGCCCTGACTCCAGCACGCCAGACCCGGAGGTTCATGGTCCTTATAAGTGGGGTTTAGGGCGTTCTAGGGTTTAGGGGTAGCAATAAGTGGGGCTATAAGTCCCCTAAGATGGGATATATAGGTTTAAGGGTAGTTACAAGTGGGGTTTGGGGTGTTCTACTTGGAGGTTCATGGGGTGGTTATAAGTGGGGTTATAAGTCCCTTAACATGGGTTATAACTATAGTTACCTTACTTATAACTACCCAGGAACCTCCAAGTAGGGCCTAGGGGTAGCTATAAGTGGGGCTATAGGTCCCCCAAGATGGGATATATAGGTTTAGGGGTAGTTATAAGTGGGGCTATCAGCCTGGTCTAGGGTTTAGGGTCTAGGGTTTAGGGTCATATGGGTTAGAAATACAGTTGTCCTGCTGATGGCCCCACTTATAGCTGTGCATGATCCTCCAAGGACCCCAGCCCCAAACCCGAGACGCTGGTTCCAGCGGACCCTGCAACCGAAAGCCTAAACCCTTAAACTCGAAAATCCTGGAAAGGAATACAAATTCGGAGCACCCTATCAACATCCTAAACAACGCAACACTCAAAAAAAAACTAAACCCTCTAAACCCCCTAAATCCTAAACTTTAAACCTTAAACCCCTAAAACCCTACACCCTTTCAGCCCTAAACCCTGCAAACCGTCTAAACTAAAAAAACCGGGCATGAGCACCTCTGAAGCGCAAGGGAGCCTCTGGCGGAGAGGGACACCACGCCTGCCCACGTCTGCGGCTCTATCGGAAGTCTTACTTGGAGGTTCATGGGTAGTTAGAAGTGGGGTTTTAAGTCCCTTACCTTAATATGGGCTATAACATAACCATCCGAAGTCTTATTTGGAGGTTCATTGGTAGTTAGAAGTGGGGTTATAAGTCCCAGTATGGTTTTTTTACCTTACTTATAACTCCACGTATAACTACCCATGAACCTCCAAGTAATTACGGGGCTTGGGGAGCATGTTCGCTTTTTGGTAACAAATAGCACTCGAATAGGGCGTTTTTGGGGCTCATTTTCATAATACTATATTCGCTTAGGGCTGGTTCTTTTTAAGGTGGTGGCGGCTCTCGAAGGCTTTGTAGCCGTTTCGTGAGATTCTGGCAAGACCCGTCGTAAATCCTTAGCGCTACGCCCTGCACGGGCTTGCTCACAGTCCCTGACAACGTACTGCGACTCCCAAGGAACCCTGGAGAAACATGATTAGTATCTATTCACGCTTCTAGATCAGAAGGATTCTGAGTTTACTTGTTTACAGGTGCGACTGGGTTTGGCAGCTTTGAAGCTTGGGTTTCTGAGTTTGAGCCCCGTGAACCCTGGACATGATGCCCAGCCCACACCCTAAAAGCCTTTAACCTCAAGACACGAAACCTGCACGATTAAGGGTTTAGAGTTTAGGGTTGCGGGGTTTAGGGTTTAGGGTTTAGGGTTAAGCCTAAACTGCAAAAGCATGAACCACCCTGCCTTTCGGGTTCATGGCACCCACACCCAGCTCCTGCAAACAGCAGTGATGAGGGCCACAGATGTCTGAGTCTGCACCGAGGGCTTAGGGTTCAGATTCTGAAGTATATCATATCAGCTTATATAGTATAGTATGGCATAATTTAATGAGTAGTTTAAGAACGCCCTAAACTAGAAACAACACGTAAACAAGCCCCTCTTCAATTTATTGAGAGATCACTGCTCTGGCCGGTGGCCCAGGGAGTATTCCGTGATCTCAAGATTGGATATGCACATGGGTAGTTGTTCAACTTAGGATCCCTTTTAGTGTCCTTTATATGGGGGAGCCGCACTATTTTGAGAACCTCAGAAGGGACCAGGATTTATAGAACTACCCGCATGTTTCAATGAGACTGTAACCTGGACTCTGAACCCTACAGACCGTCCACCTGGTTATTCATCGGTTCAGGTATAGAGCCTAGGGTGTAATTATGGCGTACGTATGTCATAACCCTAAACCCTCAAACCCTCAAACCCTAAAGCCGTAAACCCTAAAACCCTAAACCCTAAAGTCACACCTGACAATGATCCCTCGAGGAGATGCTGCTGCTCTGCATCCAAACTCGTCGCCAGGAAACCCCAAACCCTGGCGAAGAGTTGTGCTTAGAGGTTCATGGGTAGTTATAAGTGGGGTTATAAGTTCCTACCTTAATATGGGTTATAACTATAGTTACCATACTTATAACTCCACTTATAACCTCAGTTATAACTACCCATAAACCTCCAAGTGGCTCAGCGGTGGCGCGAATAGGCCAGACGCTGTGCGATGGCAATCTGGTCTGCGATGCTCGGCGCTTGCAGCCGCCTTCCTCCACCCTAAACCCTAAACCCTAAACCCTAAACCCTAAACCCTAAACCCTAAACCCTAAACCGTGGCCGGTGATCTGGGCCGGTCAGGTGCTGGGCGGCGTGGCTCCTGGCGCGACCCGGAGCTGGTGGCTGAGATTTGCTCCAGAGCATTCGACGGCCTCTCATCTGCTTCATCGACAGGCTTGACCTGGATAATATAGGGGCCTTAAGAATTAGAATAGGGTTTTGGGGCCCATTATACTATAATTATACTAAGGAACCCACAAAATAATATAGCTAATTATTGAAGCCCCTATATTACTGCATCAAAAGTCTGAAGGCTGAAAGTCTACTCCCAGTCGCTATGAGAAAACAGGACTAACTTTGAGGTCCGGTGTGTGGCAAGAGAACCACACCCAAACGGACAGGAAAAGCCTAAGGGTTCTATGAGGAACCCTAAAAAGCCCTGAACCCCAAACCCTAAACCCTAAATCCTAAACCCTAAAACCCGGAACCTGAACCCCTAAACCACTAACCCTAAACCGCACACAGTGTTGCAAGGAAAGTCCGGGAACGGTCCCGGGGCCAATCCGGAAAATATTCGGACAGCTCTGTCTCAGATCCCGAGGTCGAATCACAGGGTTTGGGGCTTGTAGGGCATCAGGGTTTACGATTTAGGCTTTTAAGGTTCAGGGTTTGAGGCGTGTAGGGTTTAGGGTTTTAAGGTTAAGGGTTTCCGCGCTTCAGGTTTTCGTTGGGTTCAGGGTTTACGGCTCAGGGCTTTAGACCGGTTTTTACGGTCTAGGGTACATAAATAGGGCTTAGGAGTTGACGGGGCCACGCTCCGTAGTGATCGAGCATCACTACGCACAGCCCAGACAGCCCACTACACCCTGGGTAAGGAAACTAAAACTATCTTGATATTATCAATTGAAGCATATTCCTTTCTTAAGGGGTACAGGGCACTCTGGGTTCGGGTATGGGATTTATCAATGGCTAGTATTATCCTCGTAGATCTATATATAGTCACCGTTTATTTACTAATATGCCCCAGAGCTCTATTCTAGTTATTCAGGCCCCTATATTAAAACACGTCAAGCGTTGAGAGGTCCTCGAAAATCTCGCCTAATGCGGTGCGCGACACGCTATCGACCTTGGAAAAGTCGAACTTGTCCATGGCCTCATCGGGGCGTCGGATTTAATTCACTGATGTGGGTTCTGAAAACGTAGGTTGGGCGTTTGGGGTATAGTACCCTATGTTTTGCTACAGTTCTCTTATGCTCAGGATCCCTAAAAAGATGTCTAATTCGTATGGCCATGTATTGAGGCTTTAGCTTTCGCAGGATCCAGGCTGCAATCTAGACAGGACCGAGGCGCTGGCTGCGAAGGCAAGTAGGCTTAGCGTTTAGAGCTAGGGTTAAGCCAACCCACACACGCACACACACGCTACATCCCTCGCTGCTTTCGTCTTGGATAGAGCTTAGGGCTTCAGTGCTTGTAGAAGCTTTGCCACAGTCTGAGAACCCGTAAGCCGTGGTCAACACCTAATCCAAAAGCCCAAAGAAGAGCCCTGCCAACGCTCTAGTCGTAATGAAAGCTCAGGTGGAGCTTCATTCTAAACCCTAAACCCTAAACCCTAAACCCTAAACCCTAAACCCTAAACCCTAAACCCTGAACCCTAAACCCTAAACCCTAAACCCTAAACCCTAACTCAGCAGGCAACAGGTTGGCCTGCCAAAGGCTCCTCTACAATATACACTTGGGCCGCAAAGCTGCTATGTGCTTAGGGTTTAGGGTTTAGGGTTTAGGGTTTAGGGTTTAGGGTTTGTAGCCGTCTGCATGCCTTTGTTTGCTTTAGAAGGATTCGGACACATAGAGTTTCAGGGTTTCAGTCTTTCAACAACATTGGCAAAGAACATTCCTTTGCTCTGGGCAATGTTCACGGCGAAGCGTGCATCGTACCTTAAAACTCGGGCGATGACGATACTTGGTTAATAGCCGCACTCGCAATTTTGACGACCGCTCGTGAACTTTACAAAGCCCTAACCGCTACCCTAAAACTCGAAATCCTGAACCCCTACATCCGATAAACCCTAAATCCCGAAACCTAAACCCTAA